GACAACCTGTCACCATGTGTTTTACCATAAGTATTTTGTATCTGTGTTTTGGCCACACCCATGTCAGTGGGATACTACTTCTAATCTGAAAATAAAATCGAGCATAGTGAGGGTTTTTAATGCTCTGAAAATAATATTAATCTAGTCAAGGCTTGCTTGTAATGCTGTATCTCTGTTTTCCTAGTCTGAAAAGAGAGGATCACCACTACCGCAGTATGGTAGCAAGCTTGATACAAATGTGTTAAAAAATGTTTTAACATCCTCAAGTGTTCAGAAGTGCTTATTAGTCTTCCCTTGTTTTCTTTGCTCTTGCACAGAGCTTGTCCTTTTGGAGCGAAAAGTTTTAGGATAATTGCTGCTTCTTCCAAAGTGTAGTTTAAATAAAGCCCAAGAGACCTCTCATGTTTATTAGCAAGAAAAAAGAGCCTCTTCTGTTAGTATATTTCTGAATTGGAAGTACCAAGTGTAGAGTTCTTCACTGCATCCATAAGGAGTGAGTTGGGAAGATGTGTCCTTGGCAGAAGCGCAGAGCCAAGGGAGCTCTGCCTGTGCTAGGGCCAGAGTGGAAGTGCAGAAGGGAGCATTTCAGGTGCAGCAGAGAAGGGGCTGCCCCAGTGCCAGAAGCATGCTCGCTCAGCAATATGTGCAAGAGATGATAAGCCTTATCAAAGGGCCACACTACTATGCTAGTAGTTTTTCCAAATTGGGGATTTTTGCTTTTTTGTTGTTTCACAGTATTAGAGCGTAAGCTCATTGACTGGGATGCTGGCTTTCTGGTATTTGTGGTAATTATGTGGTTTTGAAACTCTCAACTTTCACAAATGCACAGACTCTGCCATTATTGTATTCTGGTTGCAAGATAATTCACTTAATTAATGAAATTCGTGATTAAAGTTGCTCTGGAAATTTTCAGGGAATCATCTCCATGGTTTACTCCAGCTGTCTGGGAGCATGATAACTGGCTCTGAACTTACTCATCTGTATAACTGGTATCTTTTTAACACACGTCCATTGGGTGAAGGAAGAAATTGCGGTGCCACCAGAGTAGGGATTTGTTTTGCTCTTCAGCAGAAATTATTACCTGGAGGTTTTTGTGTGTATGAAAATGAACACACTAAACACTAGCATTTCTAGAGCCAGCAAAATCATTGGATCTCCAGTAAGGCTTGTTATACAGTTGTCCAAAATGTCAAACTGAAAGCCCATTACAGAAGCCTTTTCTTCTTCCTTGTTGTGTTTACTAAATTTAAGAGCCACCAAAGAGTTTTTGTTCAGCCTTGTGACAAAGAAAATAATCTTGAGATCTTCTGTGTGTAAAAATATATATTTTTGAAGCTATTTATCTGTAAAGGAAAAGAAGGCTTCATCTGAAGCTTATAACCCAAAGTGACTGTTCAACATTAATGGATGACTTAAAATAGCCATCATAATTACTTACTACTTGAAACTTTCAGTGAATCGGTTAATCCTTACAAGACCTCTGAGACCTTGATGTGTTATCAATTTACATGCTGGTATAATTGATTTTATACTATAATAAATTATTTTTTATTTATCCTGTTTTAAGACAATTTTAATAGGGTAATCATATTGGGAGGGAATGTATAGCCTGGGGAAAGGTCATCTCATCTTAATCTAATTGTGTTGTTTTTGCAAGGATGCAAGTAGTATTTCTGTACTACTTCCATAATTAGAGAGGGACTGATCACAACATTTCAAATCCCAGGTGTTCTCTGAAAAAAAGGGGGGAAAAACTGTTGGAGGTTCCTACAGAGAAGAGAGTAAGAACTTTCAGAGAATAATCAGAAACTATAAAGATTGTGTCTTACAACAAGAGAAGTCAATTTTCTCAAATGTAAAAAGCTTTTTAAAATTCAGAGCAGTTTTTACTGAATGAGGCATTTTGCTTTTATGACCTTCCATACTTGCTCACTAAACATCAGATGAAGTTCTTGATCATGTGCTTTGAAACATAAATTCTCCTTACTGGACAACTGTCAGAAGATACTTTTTTGAGCCTTGGAAACTGATATGCATCCAGACATCTGCCTCTTTGTTAACACATGAATACCAGAGTGGAGATTGTTGTCAATGTGTTTTGTAGCAGGAAAGCCTCTGTCAGAGTGGATAAGTTTCCTCATTTTGTTTTTTTCCAGATCATGAACACTTCTGCCCTCTGAGATATGTGCTACCTGTCAGTATTGAGAAAATAAAATTTTCCTTTTTTTTTTTTTAAACTCATTGATCGTAATAGCTTTTTTGCTGAAACTGTCCTAGATATTCAAATTATTGCTCATTTCTAGCTATCTGTGCTGTTTAATGCTAGGTTTTGCCTCCCCCTTCATTTTCCATGTTATTTGATAATTTTTCATTTTCCCTCTAATGCTGTAGCGTTTTGGGGTTCAATGCAAACGCTGTAAACTTCCCTTGATTTAGTGTCTTACAGAGATGTCCAGCTTTGTCTTTAGACAGGCTGTATGGTTGCAGAAACACTGTGAAAATAATTCTTGCGTAGTTAAAAATTTTCAGTATAACCCCAATACTGCTATGGTGCTGACCCATTAGTGTAAAACTTTCCCAGTTGTATTCTTACACCTTCCTAGTCCTCATAGCTCTGTGAATGGGACTTTTTAAAGTTGTCTTGACAAAAATAATTTCTGTACTATAGAAAAAGTATATCAAAATAAAATCGTGGCTTGCATTGTTTCATGCCATTAAAACAAAATACTTCATTTTAAAATACAATGAAACCAGCTGATATATGTTTAATCTTATGTGCCAAGTACTTTCTAAGTTGCAAAGGCAATTTGCATTATAATGTATCTTTTAAATTAAACTGTAAATATTTATATTTAAATAAATAAGCTGTTTACAGTGTTAACAAATATTTGATAAATAATTTAAGCATCACAACATATCTGTTTACAATAAGATGTCACTCATCTACCGCAGTTTGTACAATAACGCTATTATGCAAAACGTGACTTTTCAGAATTACCTCTAAATCACTGATGTCTTGTTTTAGCAGAGTATCCACTGTAATCAAGGTGCTTAGTTGAGACATTATGTCAAAATAAGCGGCTAAATGAACAGATACCTTCAAAGTTTCCTTCTCACCTTGCAGATCAGTTCTCTTCTGTAATCTACCCCTGTGATTCTCATTGCATGCCGCAAACCTTGCATTTCCTCAAAATTTTTCTATAATACCTTTTGAATTAATTAATTTTTATTATCATCAACATATGTCTGTGGCAGCCATCCTAAGAGATCATACAGCGTACTCTTTGGCATTGTGGCTGAGTCTATCTTATGGTGTTTTGAAACAAAACTTGCCTTTGCTAGTCAGCCTGAATGAACCTGTAAAACAATTTTGTGATCAACCTCCTAACAGCCCCATAAGTCTCTACCTGCTGTGATTATACCAGTATGTTACAGAATCCCAGGGTTCTGCAGATTATTAGCAATATGATTCTTTGAGTTGTCTCACATATGGTTAGCTCCTTGCTGAGGCAGAATGGTCCACCTGTTGTTCTGTTGAGTGCTCCTGGTCACTTTATATTGGCTTGCGTTGGAAAGGCTTTCTTCACAAGGTTAAAATATTAGTATCACATGAAAGCTGGGATTCCTATTTGTCCCAAATTTTTATGTCCTTTCTCTAGGTCTTCATTAGAATACAATGGGCGCTTTCAAAATGGTTGATCAAACACTCAGAATGATGCAGGTGCTGTTACGGAATGTACAAACAAAAACCCCCAACATGTTTCCTTGAACAAATTTAAATGCACAAAAATATAAAATTTCTTGTTTAGATCTTGAGGTGCATATAATGGATTACATTAATGAGATTTTCTTCGAATGCTTTTTCTCCAGTTCATTGCTCACTGTGCAAGTCTATGTGTAAGAATAATGTAAACTCACCTGTTGGCCAAGTCACAGTATAGTCTGCTTATGCTCCAAAGCTGGATAATTATTTTGTTACTTATTGGACTAATAACTTTTTGGCATGTTATATTGTGCGCTGTCAGAACTCACCTAGTTAAGGTTACATTAGAGATTGACCTCCATTGACAAGATTAAATTGAAGTAATTTTCTCTTAGAGCTTAGCAGGTAGAGTATTTGTGTTGTCAGCAAACAGGACTTTATCCTCT